TGCGCTTACACTTGGCGCGAGACACTACCGTGTCTCGTGACAGTCTTAAAACTGCCGATTCAAGTGAAAGCCATCTTGTCTGGACAGGGTGAAGAATTTTATGGACTGCAGTTTCAGTAAACCTTTGAAATTCTTGATAAAGAGCACTTCTCTTGGGGCTGCCAGCAATGCAATTGTACACATCCCTTGCTAAATCTTCTACCCACCTAGGTAGTTTTTTACATGCATAATTCGCACACAAACTAAAACTATGGCAGATACACTTCATTAAAAAAATTGATTTGTTTTCTGCCTTTAGCCTAGTCATCACAGAATTATTCTGGCCTGCCATTACATTGGCTCCATCAGAGGCAGAGCCAATTAGGTTCTTCTTATATGGAATATTATGCGTCTTGAAAAAATTAATAATTTGTTCATAAACGTTATCTGCCTTTGCATCTTTCATAGGTATTAATGCAAGAAACGAGTCTTTTATTCTGAAAAGTAAAATACTTCAATGTAAGTTTAATAACACGATGTTAGACTTCTATACGAGTTTTCAGTTCGAGAAATAGTGTAGCCAATCAAGCAAATATATTAAACGAAAAATCTGAGGGCCTGTCAAATCCGTACTCGCGTACTCGCGTAAACTACACCCGTCGGTCTTGCGCGCGCGGTTCTAGCTACGCTTATACTTATTGTTAGCGCAAAACACTACCGTATCTCGCGATGATTAACCTTGTGTCTACGATGTTAGATTTCCGGGTACTCAGTTCGAGGCAATATTAACGGTAATATTAATATATTAACTACACGGTTCTCGGACTGACAATGAGATCTCGATCCAAGATCTAGCACAAGAATTATGTTTACGTTCACTGATCGCGCACACTTACATTGACAGCTTTGCCATGTTTACGCGCACTTGGCGGTAAACCGAGCTTTCGGAAGTCGTCGGTAATAACATCGGTAATATTACGCGTCGGTAACATCAGTCGTCGGTAATGTCAGTCACGTCAGCGCAGCGCCAATGCCACGTTGCGACAAAAAGTGAAAAGGACGTTTCCCCCTCCACTGGCCTGTCGACCAAGACGACGAAGACGTTTCTTAATCCTACCTACGTAATCCTACGTAAACTGCCCAACATGCGGACTTTGC